GAGAGAGAGAGAGAGAGATGATCATTTTCATTTTGATATGCTTTTCCTCAGTTCTTACCTGATCCTAATTTGATGGAAGCTTTTTCCGGTCTTTGGTTCTGAACTTCATGTTTAATAAGTTGAAAGTTGTTAATGGCATACTCTTGACTAATCTGTTTATTTTTTAATGTCATGGTATTTGCATGATCTCATTTTTTTCATAGTATTCAACATTATCAGTGGCATGATTTTGGCATGGTCCTTTCTTTGAGTTTTTAATATATCCAAACCTTTGAATATTTCTTTTTACTTTGTTATCGCTGTTGAGCCGGACTTGTATTCGTTTCAATATAATATGTGTTTTGGGCTTAAGCTAGTCTTGTATGGTTTTATTGAATATGTTTGTTTATTTGCTTTCTTTGCATTTTTCACATTCATCTTTTTACTCTAGTTTTTATGGGGTTGAATGTATATGATTGAGACCTTGGTGCTAATTTGCAGGGACAATGGCTTTGAGTCAAACTGCCCAGATTGCTATTGCGATTGGGACACTTGGTGCTCTTTCATTTATATTTGGAGTGGTTGCGGAAAATAAAAAGGTCTGTAACCCTCATGGGAAATGTATATGCCTCCTCTTGGTTCGCATTTGATTTTCTTTCTTCTCTGCTTTTTTCTAGATTTGGAATGATTTTGGTGGTTTAATGACCTGAATTTCTTTATGTAACATGGCAATGGCTGCATCAAAAGCTTGGTTTCCTTGCACTTCTGTTTCTATCCTTTACGATTTTTTTTCCTTTCACTTATTTTTTCCCCTTTATAATAGTTATTCTATAGTCTACACTTGTGTAAAAGTATACAAGCCTGAAATGTTGGGGGTTTGGGAAGGGTGTTAGTGTTTTTTACAGTAAATCACCCCTTTGTATATTTATAGCATGATGTTTAGTTTTCTCCAAAAGGGAAACATCGTATGAATTTATTGTGTTTTTCAAAAGGGAAACATTCTGTGGATTTACTTGTTTTGTGGTCAATAAAACTCGCCTGCGTTCTACATACTGATAAGCTGAGGGGGAGTTTGGTAAGACTTGTGGCCACTGTTTTATTTGAAAACAAGGAGAAGTGAATAAATGGTTGAGAAAATACAACTCGTTGTTTGATCCATATACTTTAATTCTGTTGATTGTTTTTCTTGTGCTAATTTTCTTGCTGTTTTTCTAATCCCATGGTGAAGTTATCAGTTACCATTCTCTGACCCATTATGTATATATTCAAGCAGAGTTATGTTACTTCATCACTCTTAAAAGGGGTCTTCTAAATATCTTAGGAGCGTTTGTAAGATATTTGGGACCGCAATGCATAACATGGTACGACAGACCAATCAGTGCTACCATGTCACTTCTGTTGGGAATTGTTTGTGAATGTTGCTGTGTTGCCTTTGGATATCATGTCGCATGTCTAACTTAACCTGAATATTGTAGGAACATAATAAAAATGTGGTTGCCATCTGTATCGTATTTTACACAATGAAGAAGATGCCATAAAACTTGAAGTCAAAAGTCAAATGTTCATCGCGTAAATTTATGAGTACCACCCAAATTTCTGATAATTGAGATGAGGGTTTTCTAATTGATCAAAAAAGAGGGAAAAAAAAACGGATGACGATTCCTTGCTTTGGTGTGCTGATATAAAATGCAATTGGTGCAATAAAGTTTGCCTTAGTTGTTTTCAAATGCTTCAGAGAATGCCATTGGATATATATCATGTATCTTATGTTCTAGAAATAGTGGGTATGTTTTCTTCTGGAACAATTTCACTGTGACATGGTGGAATTCGTACCCAAACTTCTGACTTCTTAATGGTTTGTTATGGATCCTTCCATGCCCATGACATCACTGAAGTTTCACTTGTTTTAAACCTTTACAACCCCCAATAAACGTTTGATGTTGGAGAGAAGCCTGTGTATTTTTTTGTGGAACTAACTCTTAAATCTTAATCTCCGTCTTGGTGGAATGACCTTCCAGCCTGCCTCCGGAAGCCCAATTGTTGGAAAGGACTTCGTGGTATGCAAGTTCCCATATGACCAAACTGTCCCATTGGGCGCTTTGTCATTGGTGTGCCTTGTCTTCTCAAGCATTCTCGGTTTGGTCTCTGTGTACTTTCCCTACCAGAAAAAGACGGTCCCTGCTGCTATTCTCTTCAGGAGCACCTCCCTATGCGTGTTCTTTGGCATTGCCACGTGAGTGTTCTCTCTCTCTCGTATGGCAAGAATGTGTTACATTTCTAGTAGGCTATGAAATATTGGAGAGTCAAGAAATGAATATGGAAATAACTAGTGGGTCATATGTTGGGGTAAATTCACTTGCCACCAACCCCACAAGGCAAAAGAAGATGGTAGTGGTGAGGTTGTGTGTGTGTGTGTGTGAGTGAGAGAGAGAGAGAGATTGGGACCATCACAAGTGTATGTAAAAAGATATTTAGTTAAGCTTGCGAGAGGGAGAGAAATATTGGTGGGGCCGTCACATAAAAAAATATTTAGCTAAGCTTTTGAGAAGGATAGAATGAAGGGGGGGGGTAAGAATGAAGGTGCGGGAGATCTGTCTTGTAGGTGGCTAGTTAGGATTTGAGAGAATGAATAGGGAGTGAGAACACTCTCAAGGACATCATGGAGAACCTTGCATCATTAGAATGTAGGTGTGGTAGATCTCTTTCTCAAACACACACTCTCTCTCTCTTTATATATGCATATTATTGACCAGCTCTAACTTGTTGCTTTTGCTGTTCAGTCTCGTTTCAACAGTGTCTTTTGTGCTTCTCATGTGGGGCACCATCACCGAAGGCCTCCACCATGTTAACAAAGTGCACAACGATGTTACCTACGCTTGTCCAACTGCAAAGACTGGTTTGTTTGGAGGTGCTGCTTTCTTGGCTCTTGATTCAGCTCTCTTTTGGTTGATTTGCCAAATGCTCACTCTTAATTCTAGGGCTGATTATGAGGAGGAAGATCCCAAAGGGGATTATGGCGAAGTCCACACAGCCGATTACACCAACTCCAATAATCCCAAGGTTTGAGAAGAAGAAAAGATATGAGAACCAATAATTTGGAAAGAACCTCAAAGTCACTTTTCTTTTTTATGGTGGTGTGTGTGGCTACTGCTGAACACTTGAATAAGCAATGTACATACCTTCATTGCTATGAATATTAGGGGATAATCTGTTGTGGATTCTCTCTCTCTGACAATGTAAATGCCTTTATTGCTATGAATTTAGGGGGTAAATGGAATTGATGCTGTTTTGTGGACTTTATCCCTCTCTTTCACGTTGTAAATGCCTATTGTTATGAATCTAGGGTAATAATTGGAATTGCTGCTGCTTTTGAGGTCTCTCCCCCCAAATGGGCAAAAGAAGGGTTTACATTGGTGCCTTCATTGTGATGTTTCTAAACTTCCCGGTGGAAAACAATGCAAAATCTACACAGCTCTAATGCCATAGATTTCAATGTATGGCGCATCGCATTGTTTACAATTTAGCTGTACCGATACTCGATTTACACAATTATGTTCCTTAACTCAGTGTTAGCAATGTTTTAAGGGAAAAGTATATAGGCCCTAAACAATCAAATTAAAGTGCAATTCAAAAGTTCACTTCCCAAAAAATCTCAAATGGATCATCTCAACCTCAAGATGTATGGACACGAGATAAAATAATTTTAAGTATTGGAAATAGTGCATCTTGTAATGCATTTTTTGGACCGTACATAAGTGTTCGTGGATGGGTTTGATCCACACTATTTTTTAATCTTTAAAGTTTATAATTAGAAATGAATATAAGGTGCAAATTAAGGCACACCTCTTATAGCTCACTAGAAGAGGTTCTTTCAATGTTAAAAAGTCCTCAATTCAATTATCTCGACCTCAAAATATATGAACATGAGTAAAAATAGATTTGAAGTCCGGGAAATATCGCATCTTGTAATGAATTATCTAGACCATCAATTTTCAAGATTTTCAACTGATCATCATCTGTTCGATATACACTATTTTTTATTCTTTAAATTTTGTAATTAGAAGATGAAAATAATTTTTTAGGCCATCACAAAGATTTTTTATTTTGAAACAAGATGTTTCCGCAATATTTGAATATGCATCTTATTTTGATTGTTTTTAATCTTTAAATTTTATAATTAGAAGATAAAAATAAATTTTTAGGCCATCACAAAGATTTCTTATTTTGAAACAATATGTTTAGGGCCTCACCCTTATACAAACTGCCTTACTTTGATTGTTTAAGGCTTTATTTTGATTGTTTAGGGCCTCAACTTAAAGCGGACCACCTCCCACTAAGATTTCAGTAGTAAAATAACATCTTTTGACACGGTGCGTCTTATTTTGATTTTTTTAGGACCTCAGCCTTATACAAGCTATACCCTTGTTTTAAACCATGTCTCGATTTTAAATACACTTCCCAATAATTTTATTATTTTCAGTTAATTTTAGCCCGATAATGGAAAAGAGAGCGAGGGCAAGAGTGGTGAATTTTAGCCAATTATTATTTTCAGTGAATTTTAGCCCGATAATGGAACATGGAGAGAGAGAGTGGTGAATTTTAGCCAAATAATGGAACATAGAGAGAGAGAGGGCATGTGATGGCAGTACATTCTTTAATAAGCCTCCCTTGTTCTTAAGGCTGCTCCCTTTGATAGCGCTTTATTTCGAATGGAACATGTGACTCTCTCTTCTTTATTCTTTGTAAAATTGACTCCCATTTTCGCGGTCTTTAACAATCCGACAATTTCACTAGTCGGACGCGCCATGTGAGTCGTGCAGGTGTACACTGGTTAGGTGGTATACGGGTTGGGTCAAGACTTGATCCTAGTTGCTTATCGCAGGCCCGTCACAACGAGGTGGGTTTGGTTGGATCCGAATCTAACAGTAGGTTGGATCCAATCTAGATAAAAATATAAAAATTGAAATAGAAAACTACTACGCAATGTCTATGGGAAAAAATGAACAGTGTTTTCGCCCATAGGCTCAGCGATGTTTAATTTTTCAGAAGGCATGGATAAATCGATTGCACCGGACATTCTATGTCCATTATGATGTCGTTGATTTTTTACACAAAAATCGCGTGAAATCGCAATAGCTCTATTAGAGACATGGCGACTTTTCATGCTAAACCACAACGAGAGCCCTTACGCACGAGATCAATGTCCATTTCCCCCCTATGACGTTTTCGGGAGTTTATGTCTCTTGTGCACATCATGGTTGCCAGGTGAATTGAGGCTGTCTATGTCGAATATTTTCTCATGTGAAAAAGTCCTATGCTCCTGCGGGAGCATAACATATATTCACTACAGTAAAGCCCCATCTGCTCCATTTTCTGTCCATATAACGAGCAAAATATTGTTTTAAAATCCGGATTAGGACAGAATGGGTTTTGGTGCGGTGATCTCGAGCTATATCCCCTAAATCACCAATTTATCAATTTTTACTATTTTTTTTTTTTATTACTATTTTACCTGATCCCCACCTATTTTGATTGCTGATTCACCCGATTTGAACCAGCACAATCATAAACCAATAGTTGTTTCAACTTTCAACTGGCTGATTTGATTTTCAAAACACCATAACAAAAACAAAAAAGGGAAAATGTGGTAACCTTACCCATCAAATAATAGAAAAATATACAAATAGGCTATTTACTTTTAGAGTAATGATCCTAGAGGACCCTCTTTCACTCATGTGGGTAGAACCCTGAAAGATCACCATTAAAATTGGCATGGATCTCTAAAAATATGTATAGGTAGGATTTGTGAGATTTTACTTTTGTAGAGATTTGTGTCAATTTTAATGGTGATCATTTAGGGGTCTTACACATATGGGTGAGACATAGTCCTATAGAATCATTTCTCTTACTTTTAGTACAAAGAGGTCAAATTGGATGCTTGCGAATGTGTTATTGACTAGATTTAAAGTTCAATTTTTTTTTTCGAACTTTGTGATACACCCCAAACAATCCAATTTGACATCTAATGGCTAATAGCAATTGTGTTATATTATTACGACTCTATCGAATTTGATATTACCATCGTATCAATTTTTTTCATGCCAAAACACAAAAATTTAAAAATTGCGAACAATTGAATTCAAAGTAATTGGAAAATACACCAATTTCGATTATTGAAATAACCAACCAAAAAATGTTTTCTCTTTTTTATGGCGTATTTTTTCTACCTCTTTGAAGTCATAGTTATCCGATAAAAATCAAAAGGGAACAACTAGTTTGAGCACCTAAATTTAGGAGAAATATTAAGGATTATGAGATTAGAAGATTAAGAGAAATATTGTGGCGTATTCTCTCTCTACTTCTTTGAAGTCATAGTTATCCGATAAAATCAGGAACAACTACTTTAAGCCCCTAAATTTTGGAGAAATTTAGGATTATGAACTTATCCAAAAAAAGACAGGTGAAGGGGAGAGAGAGTTTTAAAAAAAAAACTATTTTTACCCATATAATGTAGAGAGAGGATACACAGACCGACATTAGAGAAAACAATTTTTGGTTTTTGAAGAACCAAAAATTTAAAAATTTCAATTATTCAAAAGCTGAAATTGGCTCCGTTTTGAGTTGTTGAACAACAAAAAATACTTTGAATTTGATTATTGAACAATCAAAAAAGAATAAAGTCATATTTTTTTAAATTTATGTTTTTCACATGAAAAAACTAAACACGTTGATAGTATAACGGAAACTATTCGACAGAGCTATAATAACAAAAACTATAACGAATATGTATATAATTTTTTCTTATAATAAAAGTAAACGACCTCGTAATATACAATCTCTAAAATAATATAGTCTAACATAGGCCATACATAATTGAATGGATGAGTGCTTCCCTGCCCTTGGTGCCGTCCACTATTATCTCAATCATTCCAAGAAATACGATTCCAACCACTGATCTAAAAAATCCCCGATCTACGTTGGATATCTAACTATTTATTGTAGGTTAGTCAATAATAAAAAAAAAAAAAATTGAATAAAAAAAGAGAAAAAATGGAAAACAAAAATTTTGGAAGCCGGATAAAATCAGGCGATTGAGCAAAGGGAACCAACCTGATTTCTGTTCTGATCGAGAACTATCTCAGGTCCCATCAATTACGGGGCGAGAATCTGCAGTTTTTGAAACACTGTAATTTCCAACATGTTAAGCAATGCATAGGTGAATCATGAATGGCTTTCATGGTCCCAGGCTTCTCTCTCTCTCAAAAGTCAAAAGAGGTTCAGATTTGGCGCTTACATTTTAAAGTATTTTAGAGTAGTATTTTGTTGAAGTATCTTAATCACACTCTAGGGAGGGTTTAATAGGTCAATGCGTTTACAGCTGCCTGTGTACTTGCAAATTTATGTCCAAGAAATTTGTTCACGAGAGGGGGCCAACTGTGAAACCAGCTCTCTCTCTCTTTCTCTCTCTCTAAAACGGGGGGCGAAAGCGTCACCCCGTCATTCCTTTCTCTCTCTCTCTGCTTATTCCTACCCCCTCCCTCTACATCCGTACAAAAAATCGCAGAAGTGCTTTTGCCCTGAATCCTATAATTTTTTGCCCAAATGAACGATTTGGAGATTTGAGATCTAGCGCAATTGATTGCAGAAGTTCATCACTCAATCTTGATCTTAGGTATGTCGAAATTTTGTATCCTAGTATTTATTTTTTTAGGTGGATTTTCATTGGATTTTTGTTCATTTTAATTGGATATTTAGTTGATTTTTCTGTTTTTTCTTTCATCGGTGTCTTTATTTCAAGAATGTGTGCTTCTTGACAATATTGACTGTTAGTATAGAACCAGGTAGTTCTGTTTTTTAACTTTTTTGATCACAAATGTTGAATTTGGATAGTTTGTGTTGGTTTGGTTACTGTTTATGTTTATTTTGTTTCAAATCGGAATAAAAGTTTGAGTCTTTCTTTTATAAATTCTGATTATGGTTCGCTGTAATTGCTCTCTGTTCAGTTTTTGTTGCGGATTTCTTGCAATTTTTACCAAAATCAGACTAATAGTTTTTTAAAACAAGATGAAGAAACAGACAACTAGCTTAGGGTTTGGACCATTTGTGCCCAATCTCAAAGAAAAAAGCTTCAACTTTTCCCTGAAAGTGGCAACCACAAACCCTTTTGATCTCCATGGAGATGATGTCTCCATGGAGATGATGATAATGATGATCCTTCACTTCTCATCATCACTGCTCGAAAGTAGCAGCAACAGAAGAGTGATGGGAAAAGGCCGGAGCCCCAGCTTCTCAACAAGCTA